GAACAGTAGCAACAGCTCGATTTCAGAGAGAATGTATGATAAAAACTACTACGTTATGTTGAAACAACTTTGCATCTGTAGATTTCAACACCTTACTGGCCAAAGGTTCAGTGTCAGAAGTAAACTCCATCATTACTACTGTCTATCTCAATCATGAGCGTTCATTCTATTACCATTTTGACATATCAAAGAAGAAGAATCGTGGATATCATGACCTAAGAGCTACCGACGGGTCCCTCACCACCGGGGATCAACTGAATAATAACTAGTGTCAGTCTGGAGCAGAATCAGTAACACAGGGGTATGACTGCAAACATACCATGCAGACATTGTTTCCGTTCAACAGAATCTTGGGAAGCTTCACTTGAGAGCCGGAGTAATCGCTGTCGCATGTTTAGTCAGATTTCTTGCTTCACACATAGTATAATGGCTAAGAAAGAAGAGCCCCAGAGATAGGAGATTTCCATCCAGATAGCAGATGCGGGGACTTACAATTCAGTCACGTCCTCCAAGACCATGTCTGCAGCAGGTCAGCTCACGCACATCGTACACGAACGACAGGAGAAATACTTACTGACGTAGTCATCGAATCCAAGCAGCGTCCCGGCGAATTCTGAATGCATATTAGCTATCTAGCTTATCGTCTGCCCCTCCCCCGCAGGGAGATGTTCATGCAGACCTTTGTCGTTCTTCATGATAACCCATATCCTGGATCCGACACACTTGTCGATCAATTCTGTCGCACATGTTAATAAGCAGATCATCACGAATACGCCATGTATACATGGCTTCTGACAGGGTCAATTACCAAGAGGAAGAAGTTGTGACGCCATTGCGGAATGATTAGGTTATTAAGCAGCTACTTTCAACTCAGCATATATCCTTCGAGACATAAAATCTATATCCATAGACGACTTACTAGTTCTCTTCTAGGTGGAAACAGGAGCCCCTTGCCTAGATTCAATATAGAAAATGAAGCGGGCGGACTGACGAACGGATGCTGGAATGATTCCATCCACACAATCTTGGCGGGCCCCGGTGGCAGAGTTTATCCGGCCCGGATGGCCTCCCCCAATCAGATCTACAATCCCGCTCCGCTTCATCGGGGTGATTTTCAGGTACGCCCTGTCGCTGTGTCGGTTTCAAGGCTGCTGGAATCCAACATGATGTATTAATTGAGCAGATTGTTATATTTCTATATTCGTATTATGGACTTCTTTCAGTCAGCGTGCTTTGCGTGACTTGTGAGACTTGACGCGATTTATAAAGACCGGTGGCGGTGATAGAAGCCGGCGGCAAGCGTCACTTTATTAGTTCTCTCGATTTGGTCTACTATGGGTCTCCGTGAAGCAGCTATGTCTTGGTATTTCTACCCCATTTCATGACCGAACAAATGCTTATATATGTACTAGCTCTATCAGTGTCTATACGTGCATACGCACTCCGCAGAATCAGGCTGCCATAACAGCCACTCTCTCAAGGTCGCTGCGCAGGCCGTGCGCCTTGATTCAGCATATGACGCTGAATGGCTCAATAAACAGGCTGTATTCTGCTCTAAACAGAAGCAGCTGCTTTCCACGTTCCAGCTTGAGCATGGATAAGAGACCTGCCTTACAGAGCCTACCTGGAACAAGGCATCTTTCATTCAGGATCGACAGTCGGTCCTGCGAACTTAAACCCCAGCCTTCACAGGCCAGCGACACGATACCTTGCAATCAGACCTCCCCATATACAGGTCGCCAACATGTCGTTTCTCATAGCTACAGACCTATAACCTATCCATTTCCAGCACAAAAAAGATGTTATAGCTCGAATACAGTCCCGCGACCCATGATTGAGCATATAATCGACAGTAAGGACGTCGGAGAACTCCAGACACCAGAATCACCAGTATTACTAGCCAAGTCAGAAACCCTGAGCGCAAGCAACAATGACATAGACGAATCTGCCCCAGAAAACCACCCAGCAGGAGAGTCAAAACCAGTCCTCACACCCGCCGAGGACCCCCCAACACCCAAGTTCTGGAGCCACACCATGCTCAAAAGCCCCGAAGGCAAGAACATCATCGTCCATTACTGCAAAACACTCAAAAGCAGCGAAGACGTCGCGCAACTCTTCCTAAACGACAAGACCCTCGGCTTCGACATGGAATGGAAAGCGCAGGCCTCCGCCTGGAACAGCATTCAAGACAACGTATCCCTAATCCAAGTCGCAAACAGGGAGCGAATTGCCCTCTTCCACGTCGCCCTCTTCAGGCCAGGCAGAAAACTCAGCGACCTCGTCCCACCAACTCTCAAACAAATCATTGAGTCCCCAGACATTACGAAGCTTGGAGTATCAATCAAAGCAGACTGCACGCGTCTCCGCAAGTACCTCAAGATCGACGCGCACGGGATCTTCGAGCTCAGCCACCTTCATAAACTGGTCAAATACTGCCAGAGTAACCCGAAACTGATTAACAAACGACCTGTCAATCTCAGTGAGCAGGTGGAGGAGCATCTGGGGCTTCCATTGGAGAAAGCGGAAGATGTGAGGTGCAGTGATTGGACGGTCTCTTTGAGCTATCGTCAGGTGCAATGTAAGTTTCATTCGTCCACGCCTGGTACTAACACATGAATAACGAGTGTATGTGTAGATGCTGCATCCGATTCGTATGCTTGTATCTGCTTGTTTGATACTATGGATGCGAAGCGAAAGGCCCTCGACCCCCGACCTCCTTTACCTGCTCATGCGGATTTGGATCTGCCTATTCGTATTGTGCAGGAGCCGACCACGACGACGGTCCCGGATGATGTCGAGGTGGTTAAGCCTTAGTGGATTGCTTGAGACAGAGTGACGATACAGTGGTTTCCACAGCACATGCATACTCCCGCGAGAAAACAGGTTGGTTGCTACCTGGTTTAAACATAGAGCGACTTGATATATACTCTGGTTGTAATAACCAGATTTCAGGCCCATGAACTTCGCATATTGGATCTATATAGATCTCAGAGCTAGAACATGATATGATACCCATGCTAGAATCAATATATACAACATTTTCATCAGAAACTGAATAGAAAGTCAAGTCATTTACAATCGAGACTGCCAAATAATTGCCTCTAGAATGAATGGGGTATAATTATAGACAAGAAAGCATGATACAGTCAGTCATGTATATAAACAGCGCTGTAAAGTCATAAAACCATCAATATCATCCTCTCAAGGGCAGCACTTTCGACAAGAGCACCTCCTGTCGACAAAGCGGGCACTCCGGCTTCTCCCGTACCCAGTCCCGCACACACGTCCAACAAAAGACATGCCCACATGTCGTGACACTCGGATCTTTGAACAATTCCAGACAGAGCGTACATTTGCGCTGCTGTCCTTCGGGAATCCAGGGGATCGCATGGGAGTCTTCCGAGAAATCGTACCGGGCAGCAGAAGCTGGAAGGAGAGGAAGCGAGGAGGGGTTTTCGAGTGACGGTATCAAGGAACTTCCATACTGTTTCATACCACCTTCCGCTTCAAGTCCACTATCTTCGTTTTCCTGTCCTAGGTCGGCCCCGACCTTCTTGATATGCAGGATGCCCTGTACAGCGATTTGCAAGACAAGCAGCACACCCAGGACCTCATAACCAACCCGTTGTTCACCCTCCTCTACCTTTTTCGTGAAAACATACCGCAGGCCCGAGAACCGCTTCGAGAGATGATAGTAAGCGCCCGTGAAATAGAACGTTGCGATGCTAACGGCGTATATGGGTGACAGCGACGTGATGGAGTCCAGATGCTCGAGGATGTATTTCTGGATCCGGAGCTTCGTGAAGAATGACGGTTTCTTAGACGACTTGTTATCCTTGGCTTGCTCCACTGCTGCATTCTTGGCTTGAGATGCTTTGAGTTGTTGTCGGGCGATACTGCGTTCCAGCTTCGATCGCAGTCGTTGTCGGAAAGCGGGGAGAATTCGCTGCAGTGTCCAGGGCAGCAGGATACTACTGAGGATGTACCCGGCTCGTCTGGGAAGGGAAGGGAGTTGGAGGGTGTCGTCTTCTAGTTGGACCAAGTCGCAGTATTCTTCACCTAGGGTTCGGTTTCCGATGAAGGTGGTCAAGGCAAAGTAGAGGATCTCAGTTAGGTGTTTGATGGCATCGGAGTGGGTGTGTGCATAGCGAGCTCCGCGGAGAGAGCGAACGATTGAGTGTGCTTGGCTTGTCAAGCTCCCTGTCATGAAAGCATCCTTTTCATGCGACCGAATGATATCTGGGGAGGTAGCGAAAGGGTAGAAATGGGCCGAGGGAGAGACGGACGGTGTCGGAGCGGAGGTAGTTAGGGAGAGATCTTCGTCGGCCATTGTGAGGGAAGTGGGAGAGTGCGAGATGTGGTGAGTAAAAGAGGGAAGGAGAAGACAATATGGGAGAGAGCTATTCCCTCGTTGAGACAGCTATCATGGCAGGAAGAGACGGAGAGAGAGCGGAGGGAGATAAGGCGCGTGGGATTGTATAGCAGCGCCGGCATGCAACAGCGGATCCCCGAAAGGCGGAGGAGCAACGCCAGTGCCTCGGTAATACTCACGTGATGCTCTAGACAACCGCAACGTGACCCCTATCACATGACTCAACTCACGTGTCAAGGGTCAAGTCCCAAAGAGGCCAGGCTAGACCCAAAGCGGGACAAGTGCGCGTCGTTACAGGCCGGAAAGCCGCGCGGAGCCGCTGGGCCCCGTCGAAAGTGGAAAGCCGACCTGAAACCGGCGGTCCCTGAGCTTCTTCACTTCCCGCTGCTTAAACTGCTTCGCTGGTCATGATTTGAGTGCCCTTTGTGGTCGTCAAACCTCACCCCGAGTCGCTCCTTGATCTCCCCCCCTCCAACCCCCCTCTCCCCCCTTCGCCTGATCAGTCACTGTCGCTACATACTCTTCACTACTGGCTCCGTGCCTCGAGCCTCTCTCGAGTCACTCCGAACCTCCCTCTCGGTCTCCCTCTGGTGCTGAATTACCGGCGCCGCCGTCTCTTCAATGGAATATGGGTGTCGATCAACATGCTCAATTGGATCGCTTCAGTCTCTTCCTCCCCTTCCCCTATCGCGTGGCGGTGATACTGCTGGCTGGTATGCTACCCCCTTGGATGATCGCCCCCTCCTCTAATCCCCGGCATTTCATTTGGCTGACATTTCGTTATCGATAGGTTTCTGGGGTTGGGGTGCTAATCTGCAATACCTCCTAAAGGCCAATATTGTGGGTGATGCCCCTCCCTCTCCCTCTTCATCCTCCTTGCCTCCACCTTCTTTTGTCTATATAGTTATAGACATTCGCTGACTGGCTTCTTCTTAGGATGTCCCTGCCCTTATTAAATATCCTGCTCGACAATCCTCCAGTCAACGCCCGCATTATGCCTCGACATACCAGCTGGCCACTCTCCTGACTATCCCGCTCGTCGTCTCCCTCCTTATCTTCTGGCCCGCCACCCATGGCTCCGCAGAACGCGTCGAAGCGGTGGAATTCATTCCGCAATCATACTTCTTCATAGGACTGTTTATTCTCATCCTGCCCTTCTACCGGATCGCGCGCTCGGGCCGATATCGGTTCTTCATGACCCTGAAGCGCATCAGTCTTGGAGGTCTGGCGGAAGCACAAGATGGCAAATTCGGGGATATTCTGCTGGCAGATGCTCTGACAAGCTATTCTAGAGTCCTCGCGGACTTGGTTGTTACCTTCTGCATGTTCTTTACCACGGACGTCTCCAGCACGTCCAAACCCACCCGCAAGTGTCGCACGAACGATTACGTCGTTCCCTTGATCATCGCTTTCCCCAGTATCATTCGACTTCGTCAATGTCTCATTGAATACTTGCGTGTGCGTCGGGCTACCCAGCGTAGTCAAGTCGCGGGCAGCCAGGGTGGCCAGCACTTGGCTAACGCCCTGAAATACGCCACCGCGTTCCCGGTTATCATCCTGGCAGCCAAGTTGAAGAACTACAACCCTCTAGACTTTTACGGCTACAGTGAGATGAGCCTTTCACGGCTCTTGTACGTGCTCGACTTCTCTTTCCTGCCTTCTGCAAATAGCCCTGCCTAACCGCGCTTCCTCTGTTACAGGTTTTTCTTTACATTCATCAACTCCGCATACTCCTTCTACTGGGATATCACCAAGGATTGGGATTTGACCCTCTTCTCTTCGGCACGCCACAGCCACGAACACCCATACGGACTGCGCCGCCATCGCTATTTCGCCAACCGACAGTACTACCTCGCGATCATCATTGATCTGGCCATCCGTTTCTCCTGGCTCTCTAGATACGTGCCCGGATTTGTCTGGATGAGCGAGACCGAGTTTGGAATTTTCGTACTCATGTTCTCTGAGGTCGCCCGTCGCTGGATGTGGGTTTTCCTCCGCGTCGAGGCCGAGTGGAGTAAGTCACCCATCCATCACACAAGCACGTTACCGTGGCACCTTCAACTGACTCGTGGCACCCAACAACAGTCCGAAACAGCCGCGGTCCTGCCCCCGACGATATTCTCCTTGGCGAGTTCGGCGGCAAATTGGACGCAGACTGAACTTATACAGCCATGCCGCATCTTTCTAGACAAGGCTTCTCGCCCATTCCTCTATAAACTGACATGATTCTTGTGTATCCAACATTGTAGCCAGCATTCATCGTTATTGTGTTTACGTATGTAAGAACATCTTTCTTCCTTCTGCCTCTTTTCTCCTGCCTTCCCTCTCTTCTTGGCTTGGATTGGTGCGTCTAGAGCCCATCCGGCCCGTTCACTTCTTCAAACTTGCTTTGATTTGGATTGGCTTGGTTCCGTTCCTCTTACTATACACTTGTCTGTTCTATACACACACACACACCTATATTTACTTTCCCCTTTTCTTCTTTTTTTCATTTTCCTACTGGGAGGCGGAGAGGCGTCTGTATCATATTATATTGGGCAGGAAACAAAGGGAAAGGGAGTGTTGCGGAGCAGTTCTTGTGTTGTTTCGTATACGCTAAAACGTATAGTATAAATCCTGAGTCTGTTTCTCTTTTTCTTATTTTTTTATTTCTTTATCTCCTACTTTTCACCATTCTCTTCGGGGTCCTTTCATTCCTTTCGTTGTAATAACTTTCTCGTTTATCATTTACTGGGGTACCTAGTACCACTCATTTTGGTACTGTTTGGGGGTTAAGGAAAGACTGCGGGTTGGTCATAGTGCTGGATGGTATGATAATCGGGGCTGTCGTGGACAGTGCACTCGCTTAATTGGTAATACTAATGGTGATTATTGATAAGATGCTTGCTTTTCTTTTACTAATGGAGGTAGTTACAGTGATAGCATGGACGCCGAACTGAAGGGAGGAAATATAAGAAATATACTGGATAATGGTAGGAAGGCAGAAGAATAAATCACTAGATATATGCTCGTTGATCGTGAAAAGGCTTAGCTGACATGACTGAAACGGGACATGAGCAATATACAGTACAGTAAATAAACATATGAGCAGGAAAAGAAGTTAAAGATAAGAGATCTGTATAACGAAAAGTAATGCGAAATATACAACACGGCAAAGGAGATAATGGGATTGAGGTGAAAAGAACAACATGAAAAACCGTCGCTCGTACAACAGCATAGATAGGTCATATCAATGTCTGTTCTGAGGCGTATTGTGGTTATCGAACAAATCTTCCAGATATGCGCTTGGTGTGCGACCCTGAGGAGGAGAGGAAAGATTCACGCTGCTGGTAGATGGGTCTTCTGCGCGGGACCGTCTGGCACTACGACGGGGCGTCGTGTCCTGTTCGTTGGCTGCTGGGGGTAGGCCTGGTGATTCAGGAGGGCTAGGGGCTGTTTTGGCCCTCGTATAACCCTGCGACTGCGGTCCCATGCCTGGTAGATCAGCCGCCGAGAAGCGTGCTTCGTGAGTCCGAGGAGGCGCTGCACTGCCGGTGTTGTAGTAGCCTGCAGGGAGATAGGCAGACCGCCTGTTACTGCTGCTGCTGCGATGCATTCCGGCGGTGGGCGAAAAGAACAGCGCGCTGTTGGAGCTGGGGGTCTTTGTGGAGGGTGACCTATGGTGTCGGTGGCTGTGACGGTGGTGATGATGCCCTCCACCACCCGGCTTCTCGAAGGTGACACCTGGTCCGGAACTTGATCTTCTGGAGCGAGATCTTCGCTTCTTGGTGCGAAGCAGTCCTTTGGTTTCGGATGACCGAACCATGGCGGCTTGACGAACGGAACGGTTGACTGACCAGGCTACGAGGGCGCGCCAGGCCAGAATAGCGAATCCAATAGCACCAAGGACAGCTCCGACAACGATGAACAGAGTCCCCTCGGGGATCTTCGACTTCTGCATGTACGGTGCATCGGCTGTTGGGGGAACAGTGACGATGGGGTAGCCACTGCTTGAGGAAGAGGAAGAAGAAGAGCTTGAGTCAGTTGACGTGGACGTAGCATCTGTCGTTGAGCTAGACGATGAGTCCGTCGTGGTGGCAGCTGAAGTGGTAGTACTGTCATCTGACGAGGTTGTTGCAGAGTCCGTAGTTGAAGATGTGTCCGCCGTTGTGGCGGCAGTGGTTGTAGAGTCGTCTGTAGTGGAATCCTGAGCGACTGAAACTTGCGCGACAAAGACAATGATAAACAATAGGAGTAGGATGAATGAAGGCTGGCGGGCCCTTGAGAGGCCCACCGACAGGGCTACCATGGTTGATATAGACTCCTAGGTATCTAAAGTATTAGATCGAGGGGTAACGAGAGTTCGTAGAACCAGCAATGACCGGTGCGATTAGAGTTAATACAAGAGACACAAGTTCATAGTCAAGAGGAATCCGAAATCGTCAGCAAAACAAGAACTGAACCGGATGTCTTTGGTCGTAGATTGATTGCATGGATAGCGGGTGTCTCCAGGCAGGCGGGCGGGACTTAATATCGGTCTCCACCCAAAACAAGAGGGTCAACAAGCGATGGATGCAAGGGTAAGACGGTGATCACCGAGGTAGGGCAGACAGCCAAACGAGGGACTACAGCGACAGCCGCTGTGCGGTTAATCCGTGCTTGAGGACCCCCAAAGCGAGCGATGGGCATAAAGAGAGCGAGCAAAGACGAGGTCTTTGACAGCCAAGCGGTGGTTGCCCCGTGCCATCCTCGGCCGGCCTGAGGCTTCCACACTATGGCCCACGTGATACCCAAGTTATTCTTAGCGGCGAGGTAAGTTCAGGCTATTGGGCCATTCCCTTAATTATTAACTCTAATGTGAGACATTCTAGGATTCGTCATCAATCATGTTCGATGGTTAGATATCGACCTCGACTCCCAAACGATACCTAGTGGGGTGCCACTTTCACTCGTACAATATGATAGATTCCACAAATAAGCAAACGCCGCTTCGCTGATATACAGCCTATTCATAATATAGCAAGTTATGCAAAGAAGAAGCAAGACTAATGACACGAATCTGGAAGAACAACCGCTAATCACTGCTGCTTCTTCTGCACAGCGGCCGATGTGTCCTTCTCGAATGCTGCATAGGGAACCTCCAAGCTCAAAAGAGCAGACAGTCCGACATAGAAGATCATCAGGAACACCAGGGTCGCGAGAAGTCCCATCCAAATGCCTGTTAACGGTCAGATTATGTCTTGCGGTGGCTTGATTTCGGTCTACATACCTGGAGTAAAGAATTGGTATTCCTGGAAAAGCGTCTTGTTGGACGAAGATTGACTGTCATGAGCAGAGTAGTCGCGCTTGAGGTCCATGTGAAGGGGATCCTGTTCCGCTTGGTAGAAATCGGAACCAGCGTCTTCAAGTTCCCTTGGGGAGGTGACGTAAAGGATCGTGTAGCCCTTGGACTCCGGAAGGCGGTCAATGACGTTGAAGAGCAAGCCATCTGTAAAGACAATAAGTATCCCTCCGGAAGTAGTATAGATGTTTGGGCACCAACCGTTGTTCGAAAGCTGCTTCTTCCGATCATGTCCCGCAGGCAGGACAGGCAAGTCAACAACGATGATGCGGGACTCCGCATCGAAGTCGGCAGAGTGAGAATCAGCTAATTATTTGCTGTCAGTCATGTCCTTCATCTATCGACCACTCAGTCACAAGTGAGCACCTACAGGAAGCGTCGATCACGGTCGATTCAGCCCCGCACTCCTTCTCGAGCAGCTTTTGGACATCCTTCGCCTCGATCTCGCCCACAACTTCATTCACAATTGTCTTTGTCCGGATGTTCTTGTCCTTCCCCGTCATCTTCCCACCGAGGCGCGGTGCGGACTGGCGAGTAGCGAAGTCGGTGCTGTGCACACCGGGCTGAGAAGCAATAACATAGTAGTCGGAAGGGCAGCCACTCAGCCCCGTGGACAGATCTTCTAAGATAGCGGGAGCAGTCCGAAGCTGTGCCGACGTAGAAGGGATCCTGTAGAAGCTAGTTAGCTGGACATTCTATGGGAGTCCCGCAATCGAGTAAGTGTCACGCATACTGGGAGGTCGATGCAAGGAAAAAGGGAGAGGTGTCGCGGATTGCGTTCGCCGTCGTCGCTCCCAGAGCGAGCAGCGAAAAGGTTCCCAAACGCATGGTGGTGTAATAGGGGGGTAGCTATCAGACGAGCGGACGGCTATCTAGAGAACCTCCGGGAGGAATGAATGATGATGTTGGAGCCAGGCTGGTGGATTGGCCGACGACGGCTCGGAGGCGGTCGAGCCAACCACCGGCACGGCTTAGCTCGACTTGTCCCCGGCCGTGACGTTCTGGCAATGCGGCCGTTTTGGAAATTTTTCCTGAACTAAAAATCCCCGCCTCAGAGAACAACATCACTTCGTCCATAATTATAGACAATTTGAATAAATTGTCTCATATACAAAATCATGGGGCCAGCAGCGAAAAGAAGAAAGGTGGCCAGCAAAGTCGAAGAAGTTACCTTCGACGCTGCCGATCGCCAGCAGTTTCTCACAGGCTTTCGCAAGCGCAAACAACAACGCATTAAACATGCACAAGAGGTGGCCGAGCAGAAGGCCCGTGAATTGAAGCGTGAGGAGCGCAAAAGGGTACGTCTCATTCGCCGGTGATCAGTTTGCTTAATTGCACCGGAACTAATTTTGCTTGCAATTTAGATTCGCGAAGAGCGAACCGCAGAATTCCAGCGCGCTATCGAGGAACATAAAAAACAACTCAAGAGATTGAAGGAGGAGGACAGTGATGAGGACAACTCGAGTTCGGGAAGTGGTGATGAAGACGACCAGGAATGGGAAGGGTTCGAAGAACCCCCAGCCGTGGATTACGAGGCCGAATACATAGACGAAGACAAGTACACGACGGTCACAGTGGAAGAAATGGATCCTTCCAGAGAAGGCCTACTCCGATCGGCAGGCAATGAGTCGGACGACGAGGAAGAGGAGCAGACGGAGACGAAACCTGCACCGGACACCAAATCAACCGCGGCCGGCGAGAAGACGAAAAAGAAGACCGATAACAAGCCGAAAAAGAAGAAGAAGAAGTTCCGCTACGAGTCTAAAGAGGAACGCAAGCTTACGAGGGTGAAGGAGCGCGCGGCGAAATCGAGGAAAGCCCAGGCTCGACGAGACCGCTCATAATATCCAGTCCTATACAACACAGCACAGCACATTTATGAACCAGCATTCGGTTGGAAATACAGAAGCCAGAAGGGGGGCGCTCCCAATTAAATATGCTCTATGTACCTTCACAATGACTAATATGGTAAACAATAAAAGGTTAAACAAGGTCACGGGGACGAGCGGAGAGACCGGTTGATGATGCGGATGAAGCCAGCTAGATGACACGACGAAAAAAGATACAGCTAAAATCCGTCTCCCTGCAGACAGGACATATAGATCAGACTGTGATGTGCAGGAAAAGAAAGCAAAGGTAAAAGTATATTTGGGGAAAAGGCTGAAATCCAGCATCTTCCGGGCCTCGGCGCCATCTCCTTTTTAAACATTGCTGATGGAGACCTCGAGGTCGTGCAGATCCTTCTGCAACTCGGCGTATTTCTTCGCCATCTCCTCGTACTTGCTCTCCCACTGGTCACGGGACGCTTCGAGAGCCTGCACCTTGCGTTCGTAGTGGCCAGCCTTGACGTCGGTTTGGCGGAGCCTAGAGCACGAGCGTAGTCAGTATATGTGTTGCTCCGTTGCGGACTCGTAAGAAAGGAGGTGCGGGGGGCGGAAATGGAAAATAAACGTACTTCTCGTTGGTCTCCCGGAGGTTCCGGTCAGCGTCCTCGGCCTCTTCTTCCAGAAGTTGCAGACGGCGCTGGAGAGCCTCGTTCTGAGTATCGTGCTGAGCACTCTGGTTGGCAGAATCCTTGGCCTCCTTGAGAGCGGTCTCGAGCTTCTCGACCTCACCCTCCAGAAGCTGGTTCCGGTGGTTGAGGGATGTGATCTCCTGCTCCTTGGCGAGGTTCTCCTGCTCCAGCGTCTTGACCTTGCTCTTAAGCTCCTCAACCTTCTCCTGGGCCTCCTCGGCCTCGAGGCGGAGGTTGTTCATTCTCTAGAATCAGGGTGGTCAGCTTTCGAATAATTCCAGTTTATTTACACATTTCTGTTCGTGGTAATGAGGACAGATGGATTATCATGAGTGATGCGGTGGGAGAAATAAGGATGCATGTGGTGGTGCATGTTGCAGTTCCAGGCAGCTTAGAAGCTACCCCGCCAACAGGGGGAGGGGAAGGGGAATAGAGTCTCACCTCCTTGATCTTATCCATGTTGGGCAGTTATTTGCAGTGAACGGGGAATATGTATGGTAGAAAGTAGATGTTTCGATGAGTTGGGGATGCGGGACGGCTTTCGCTCAGCGATAAACCAGACAGAGATGCAGTAGGGAAGCAAGTAGTCAAAAGGACAAATGGGTTTTGGGTTTAGGGAGAAAGGAAGAGAAGTGGAGGAGGGCCTTTCAGGTAAGGTTGACTTTCTTGCCTGGCCTGGCGGTCAGCCGCGACTAGTGGTTGGGCCCGATCCATTTTTGGTATGGTAGGGGATGCCATCGCCCCCCCTGGATGGGCAGTGCCACAATTGCTGTGGCTGATACTTTACCGTCCCGGTGTTACGGAATACAGTCAGTTGTACTGTCTCCACGGGCAACCGCCACGAAAACATCTCGGTTGCGTGACGCTGCATCTAGAACCATGTCGACAAGCTCCGCTCTCCTTCCTTCAGTGCTGACGCGCCGCTTCCAGCACCTTTAGCTCCGACCTCCAGTATAACCTACGCCAAATCGATCTTCGCTCGTTGAATGAGCCGTGTGAATACATAACTGCCACCATGTTGGCTGTACGCGACCAAGAAAACCTGGTCCACTCTCACCAGACCGTTGCCGCGTCGAAACCACTCAATCAAGGCGTGAGGCATCTGCAACCCAAGACCCCCGGCGCTCGAGTACCAAAAACGCCATTCAAAGTCCCTTTGAAAAATGATGAAAATGATCCGCTGGCTTTTGGGAAGAAAACCGTGAAGGGGGGTAAACAGAAGGAGAATATCAACTTGACCACGAAAAATGCCTTCATCACTCCGGCGGGTACGTCATGGAAACCTACGGCCATGTTCAAGTCGCATGACTTGATCTTTGCTATTTGCTATTCATGAGACTAACACACGTTGCAGCAGGTCCTCGTCAGCGTGCCCCTCTTGGCATGAAGACGACAAATGCCAAAGCCAGGGGATTGCAGACGCCAGCACCTCCTGGAGGGACGGTGAAGCCTGACAGAACCATCAAAAGAGGTTCTACGCAGAGGGCGAAGAAATTTGCTCCCTTTATAGAGCCAAGTCAGCCAGAGGTCCAGGCGAAACCGGTAGAAGATGATGTCCCTGACATTGAGTATATGCCCCCTAAGCCCAAAGGTCAGTAGTCCCTTCGCGGGGTTTTCGCATGTATCAAGGGGTTCGTTGTGTCTGATTTATCGCAGATCTTCCTGATATCCCGGATGATGTCACTTATGATACCACCTTTCCGCAATTCCAGCCCAAAAATCTCGCCCTAGGACTGGAAAGTGTGTATGGTGATAATGAAGTCGGCCCCGATGGGCTCACTAAGCGCGAGCGGAAATTCCAAGAAGATTCAGCTGCTTGCGACAGAATGGTTGAGGAAATGATTCGGAAGCAAGTCGAGAGCATTGGCTTCGAGGAAACATTCGAGACCGTTCCAATTGAGGAGCCGCCTGCAGCAGACGCTACGCAACGCCGAATTCAAACGCGTTCACGAACGAGAGCGGCCAACAACAAGACGAAACATACTAGCAATGTCTCCACCATTCGAGCTCGTGATGCCGCTGCTGCCTTGTCCGGGACACAGCGTTCTGTTCCACGCACCAGACCGGCTGTTTCGGCCAAGCCTAGGGTTACTTCTGCCTTGTTTCCGTCTAAGAAACCAAGAGAACCGACCAACCCGTCGAGTATGCGTCAAACGGCCGCTGCTGCAACTTCCCAAACAACGGTGGGATATAGTAGGGGCCGGGAAGTGTCGACCAAGTTACATGGCAGGACGGCCAGTCCAACAGAGCTGGAGACAGTTCCCCAAGGAATCCTTTCACCCGACACCTATCTGCAGCCCTGCGGGACTCCACCATTGATCGCCGACACGATTGGGCTAGACTTGGAGAATGCAGAGGGGCTTCCGACATTTGATGAAGATGAAGAAGCTCAGAACTTTCAGTTAACGCTGTGACGTGAGATATGTGAAGAACCAAGGCGAATACAGAGGTCTACTTCCGGCGTATCATATGGGTTTTTATGGGTTTATGTTATTGGTAGTTGAGTGGTGTTCTTTGGTTTCCCGGTCTACTTTTTTTATGTGTCTTCCATTCTTCGTTGCACTCGCCAACGCGTAAGTATTCTTTTCCTGACTGGCAAGAACAGCCATGGAAAAAGAAACCTCACGGCGCCAGCGAGATGGAGCACGGGACTTGAAAGGGGGGCGTTATAGAAAGTTATGATGTATCTATTTACGATGGGGTTACTGTGTTATCCTGTTATGACTTGACGAGTCCCACGGAAGACCCCGGCGTGGGGCTTGTCCCTATTTGAGCATGAAATTGGGCTGTATGATTAATAGCCAGAATATTCGTAATGGACCCTCCTGTAGTGGGTGTTGCCGGCCCTCAAACAGTGGTTCCCTCCCAAGCTAACCGTTTGATGGCTCAATTGATTAAGTATGATTAAGCTGGTTTAAGGGGCACCTTCACTTGCAACGCCCATGACTAAGCCCACTGGACCAAGCAAAAGGGGCCACGCACCGCAGTTGGGTTTCAGACCCGAGGAAAAGACCAAATGCCAACCTTGGATGGGGAAGTTGAGATCGGTTATAAAGATAGTAACTGGCTAGGAGGTATCCTGGTCCCCGACCGCGGAACGTGAAAAGGTTGTACCTGTTCTAGGTCGTTTTTGCAATCAGCCAAATAAAGGACCTTGGGGTTTTGAGTACGTTTGGCACTTTACGCAAGAAAGAGAGAAGAGAGAGAGAGAGAGAGAGAGAGAGAGAGAGAGAGCCCCAATATAACTAACTACCAACTACTAATCGATACTACTCCTAACTAACTAACTAATCTATGCGACGCTCACCGCTTGTCCTCCCGGGCGAGACCCAGTTGGACTGGACCACTTCGTCTAGAATCCTTGGAAACTTGTCCAAGCAATCAACACTTCTTCTCCCCAGCCTTACAGCAAAAGCTGCAGCTGCTGCAGGAGTGTTCATGTAGTAGTAGTTCAGTTACTTTTTCATCATGTTATCACCCAGCTAAATATAACTAGTAATGCCTGTTCAAGCCCCTGTAGCATCAGTGTAAAATTAGTAGACCAATCAAAGACGAGAGAGGAGGAAGTTCTCATGTTCTTGCTTAGGCGCAGTCTTCCGAACCCTGGCGGTTGATCAGTTGCTCAAGCAATAATCCACTCGCTCCCGCCTCACAAGCAATCCTGTTCTTCCCTCTTTTCTCCAATTCTCTCTCCTCTTCCCCTTCTCTTTCTCCTCCCACCTCTCCTCCTCCCTCTCCCTCCCCCTCCCCCTCTCCCTCTCCCTCTCGACAATTCGTCTCCTCCGCCATGACGAATATCCATCCCGAGTCCCCAGAGGACTTCGAGTTCATTGAAACTCCACCCGCCTCCTGCACGACTCCCGCCGATGATTGCGGTGTGCGGACTACCTCGGTGAGTTAGTTGTAGCACATGAACAGCTCCTGAAGAGCTCCTCCAGGGCTCTTGACACATACTTTTCTGAACAGGAATTGTCAATTCAATTCGCAATGTCAGTAAGCTAATCTTCTCCTGTTTTAACTAGTATCCGGCCATCAAAAATGCCCCCGTCCCCGCGGATTCTCAGGGTAGCGATAGCTTCTCCAACACCCTCCTCTTCGCTCTCCTCATCCTTGTCCCATGGTACCTCGCCCGCCAGATCGGTGGTGGTTTCTACACCACCATCTTCTTCGCCATCTTCACCACCGTCCCCATTCTGATGGGCTTCTGGTCCATCGCCTCTTCCATCTCTCCCCGCAAGAACGAAAAGGCCAAGTATGCTGGTCGCCCCGTCGAGTACTACCTGAATTTCCACAGCGAGCATGATCGTACTGCCTACCGTGGCAAGAGCAAGATTCCCATGGAGGTCTTCTACGAGAAGTACTTCAATGGCGAGGTGGACTTCAAGTGTGATGCCCTGGAGGCTCTGGAGTTCAGACACGACTGGGCCAACTTCCGCTTCACCATGGGTCTCTACAAGCACTTCCTCTTCGGTTTCATCCCCGAGATGCTGATGCACACCCGCTCCCAAGGTACGTGTCTACTTTACTATATTTGGCACGGTGGTGGGGTTTTCGTGCTGACTCGAGCGACTTTGGTTAGATGAGGAGCAAGTTCGTGACCACTACGACCGCGGTGACGACTTCTACGCTTGGTTCTTGGGCCCCCGTATGATCTACACTTCCGGTATCATCAGCGACCCCAACAAGGAAGAGACTCTGGAGGAACTGCAGGACAACAAGCTGGCTGTGGTTTGCGAAAAGATCGGCGTTAAGCCCGGTGACACTGTCCTTGATCTCGGTTGTGGCTGGGGTACTCTGGCCAAGTATGCTTCGGTTCACTATGGCGCTCAGGTCACTGGTATCACCTTGGGTCGCAACCAGACTGCCTGGGGTAACAAGGGTCTCCGCAATGCCGGTGTTGATGAGTCTCAGAGTCGTATCCTGTGCCTTGATTACCGTGACGCTCCTCGGGTTGATGGCGGTTACAAGAAGATCACTTGCCTTGAGATGGCCGAGCACGTCGGTGTCCGTCACTTCACTTCCTTCCTCTCTCAGGTCTATGACATGCTGGACGACGATGGTGTCTTCTTCCTGCAGATCGCTGGTCTGCGCAAGTCTTGGCAGTACGAGGATCTCATCTGGGGTCTTTTCATGAACAAATACATCTTCCCTGGCGCTGACGCTAGCACTCCCCTTGGCTTCGTTGTTGACAGACTGGAAGCTGCTGGTTTCGAAATCAAGGCCATTGACACTATTGGTGTTCACTACTCTGCTACTCTCTGGCGCTGGTACCGGAACTGGATGGGCAACCGTGACAAGGTTGAGGCCAAGTACGGCAAGAGATGGTTCAGAGTGAGTTAAAACCTCCGTGCAGTGTATATGGCAGGATGATACTAATGTGTGACTACCTTCAGATCTGGGAATACTTCTTGGCTTACTCCACCATCACCTCCCGCCAGGGTGGTGCTACCTGCTGGCAGCTTACCCTCGTTAAGAACATCAACTCTACCCACCGTGTTGAGGGTATCCCCAGCCAGTATGGTCTCAGCGGTGCCCGTGAGGCCGCCATCACCCGTGCCGGCACCGGTGCTGTCCCCAAGGCTCACGTTCCTAACAAGGCTTAAATGTACGCTTACGACAATATGCCGGTCGAATAGGCGTCTTGACATATCCGACAGCCTATAGCACTGAATTACCGTCCATCTAGAAGGCTGTTGCACTTTCTAAAACATCGATTCCAGTAAACGAACTGGAAGATCTGGACAGTGGAAGTGAACAAAGGAGGATGACAACGATGTCTCAATTTTTTCTTATCTAAGGTATGCCTGAATGAGAGGAGTGGGATTTCTTTTCTCATATGGAAATGGAAATGAACGACACATTACTTTTTATGTACAATGTTTCTGACCTATATACTACTTCTTTTCACTTCTCCGAAAAGGCTGTATGTAATTGATAGCAATCAGAATGAAATCATGTAATAATGAAAATAGAAGATGTGATCTGCAGCGTCTACGTCCGTTGTGATTGGATATGCTTTTATGTAGTTTAAAGATTTATTGTGCTTTCTACTATTCATAGTTCAGCCACAGTGCTTCTATATATATCATTTGTCTCTACTGATCTGTACTCACTATAATGTATTTGAGGGTGAACAGAGTGATGTAACTATAGGATCCAGTATTTGAACTTTCAACTACCACCTGAACTGGCCAATGTTTAGTCTCAGAGACTGGCGAGCTAGTCTCGTGGATGGACTATAAGTTAGCGCGAACGAATGACCGGGGGTCCCTCCCCAAGTCATGCCACCAACCACCGACTACGAATGAATACGGCAGTTATAGCCACACAAGAGAGCGGACATATAGGGTACCACAAATGGAAGAGACAAGAAATCTTGTCCCACTTGCTTCTGCCCCGGCAAAGCACCTCCCTCTTGACGCGCACAATGGCTCCTGCGAATCCGACTCGTTAACCCCAATCCGCTTCAACTGTCAAGCCTGTGTGCGCAAGAAGATCAAATGCAACCGTGCAGTACCCAAGTGTGCCAACTGCATCAGAGCCAAGCTCGAGTGTGTCTATCAGCCACCACCGCCACGGCGCAAGAGGAAACGTAGCCGGGGTGAGGAAGATGTACATGAACGTCTGGCACGTTACGAGCGCATCTTGCACGACCACAATCTTCTTCCCACAGCCACTCCCTCGACTATCAATGGAAGAGACTTGGAGGCCTCAGCAAATAGCATACAGGCACCGACTCCGGGGACAGCGAACTTGCAAGCTGACGCTGCAGCGGATAAACTGCTTCCCAACTACGGCAATTCGCGCTACATTGACGATGTTCTGCTCCTCGACGCTGGTGAGGGTGACCTAGCTGAGTTGTCCGAGTCCGAGCAACAAACCCTTATTGAAGATGAGCTTGGTCCCGACAAAGCCACTCCAACCAGTCTTTTTGATGCCCTCGCTGCGCATTCCATCTCGGACGCAAGTATGAGAAGCATGATAGGCCTCACCGACCTTCACCCTAGTTACGAGCATGCGACCAAGCTCTGGTATGCCTACGTGGAGAACGTCGAGCCTCTTTGCAAGGTTCTTCATGTGCCGACAGTCGCCAAGATGGTCGACACCGTCTCTAAGCACCCAGCGACTGCCTCCAAGAACGATGAATGCTTGCTGTTTGCCATCTATCATTTCGCCGTATTCTCAATGTCCGACGACGAGTGTTCACAAGGACTCCATAATTCCAGGGCCCACTTGATGCACAAATATCGAACCGCAGTCACTCAGGCATTGGTAAATGCGTCTTGGCTCAAGACGAACTCATTACCGGTTTTACAGGCTTACACTCTCTTTCTTATATCCTTGCGCACTCAAGTCGATTCTCATACCTTCTGGATCCTGACTGGGATTGGAATTCGGCTGGCCCAACGCATAGGACTGCACCGAGACGGCGAAAGCATCGGGTTACCCCCGTTTGAGATCCAGATGCGCCGGCGGCTCTTTTGGCAACTGCTACCCCTGGACAGCTACGCAGGTCAAACCTCCGGCACGGGTATATCCATCTCACCCGGCAGTTGGGATACTAAGCTACCGCTAAACATTAACGATGACCAGATCTTCCCCGGCATGACCGAGCCGCCTCATGACCAACGAGGGGCATCGGAGATGATCTTCTGCTTGGCCCGGATGGAGCTGTCAAATTTCTACACTCGAACCGGGGTCCAGCAGAAGGGAAGCGGGGGGACAATCGAGTTCCGCACCCCAGAGGAGATCGAGCGACTGATCGACAAGGTGGAAGACCTCATCGAGAAGAATTTCTTACGGTACTGCGACATCTTGAGCCCTTTGCACTTTCTGACCATCGGAGTTATGCGATCCGCCATCAGTGCTGTCCGGTTACGCGCGCGGATGCCGCTGCTCAGGCAAGAAACTATAACCGACACACAGCAGAGACACCTCTGCAGCCTTGCTGAAAAGGTGCTCGATACCAGAAATGCCATGTATAGTAATCCCGCAACCCAGAAGTTTCGCTGGCATCTGCAAGCGTTTTTCGTATGGGATTCCCTCCTTTGCATTCTGAGAAGCATTGCCAAGGTTGGGTTTTATTCGCCATCAGAGCTCGAGGCTGCCTGGCAAAGGGTTTCAGAGGTCTACGAGAATCACGAAGCACTGAGTCAGGGCCGAAGAACCTTGTATGCTACGATTGGTAAGGCGGCTTTGAAGGCCTGGCTATTGAATCCGCCTCGTAACTCATCTCCCGAGCCGGGTTTCATTACTACGCTGCGCGCTCAACACAAACCCAAAGGTATCGATCAGCGGGATAGCAGCGTATTCGCTGCCGACCAAGCTACAGATGGGGCTTTTTCTTTCGACGAGCTTTTCGACGATATGAGCAGGGCTGACCCCAGTGCCTTAAATCTCGACTCGTCGGCCGATTGGCTATTCTGGGACCAAATGTGTGGAGAAACCAGTATGGGCTGACAGCAAGGACCCTTCACTATATATCTATATACTATCTACGGCTCCATTTTCTTAGTGATTGCAGACTTTGAGATGACGCATCTGTAATTAATGAAAGATTTACCATGACCTATGAGCTCTATCGTCACATCATCTCAATGTGCCGCTACCTTGCCCGCCTAACGCTGGAACGGTCAGATGGACGTGCGTACGGACATCGACTCAAGATCACCTCGGGGCCAAGCAAGCAGTCATGCGTGTGCTCGCATGAGCCCGAAGTTCTACGAATGTCCGCTTTTATGAGCCTTTCTATCTCAATGAGAGTGAATTATTCATGGGATGGGTCATCAGAGAACTATATAAGAGCATTTCGCATTCAATAGGGGAGTTTCTCTATGACACTTGATCTATGATACAAATACCCATACCACCAATCCGGACATCCTCCCATCCAACGATAACTTCTGCCTGGCAATTTATTCCAACCGGACATCAGTGCATGTCACCAAATCCACTCTCAACCAGAGGCATAGTCAGACATGGCACGCAACCGGGGCCCGAATCGCCAGAAAACAAACGGCCCACCCAATCCAAAAACCATAGCCGTGAACGCCAACACACTGGTACCCCAACCATACCCCAGAGCATTATACATATAAGGAGCAAACAGCGGGAATCCAAAGCCACATAAACTCCTCAGCACAGCACAGGCAGCCATCGCACTAGCCGCGTAGGTCTGATAACTGTCCACAATATACGTCTGCATGCCCTGCAAGCAGGAGATCGTGCCCATAGTATAGATCAGCGCACCGATATTCGGCATAATCCAATGGGTATGTCCAATGCTCCAACCATACCAGAAAAGCCCAATGATGCTGATAATCGAACCGACAGCCAACGACGGCATTCGAAACTCAGGTTTGCCCACATCATTATTCCGAGCTTTAAGACCACGATAGATCCGGTCCACAAGCTTGAGGTTCAAAAACAGCCCAATGAACGACCCAATCGCGATCGACAGATAATTGAGTCCCCCAATCCCAGAGCTCTCATGATATACCTCCGTCCAAATATCCGGGAAAGTCGCAAACATCAAATACGTCACGCCGAAGACGTACGCCATATAAAGCGCCATACAGAACACAATCGGCTGAGTCGTGAACATCCGCACCGGCCGCTCAAACGCATGAAGGAGCTTGTACCCCAAACTCTCGACTTTCTCCGCTGTATGAAGCTCTTGGTTCCCTGTCTCCTTGACAAGAGCATCTCGTCTCCGCCGTAGAATCGTCCCCGGATGACACTCCCTCAACCAGAGCACCCCAACAATCTGCACCGCGACAGCAGCAGCAGACGTAGCCCAAAACACCCACCGCCAGGTCGAATACTCGGCAATAAACCCTCCGGCTATCGGTCCCACCACAGGTCCCAGTAATGGACCCAGAGTATACACTCCCATAGCTTTTCCCCGTTCTTCCGCAGCCCACATATCACTACCACTCGAGGTCAGCAACGTGTTGCCAATTATATATATACATATAAAAATATATTTCTTCTTTCCCATCTAATAGAATGCAGTGTAAGTACTAACCTAATAGCCCCACCCCCCACAGCCAACGGCGCACTCCCCCCCACCCCAGCAAGGAACCTACAAACAAACAAAACCCCCTTCGTCCTCGCAAACCCACACCCCAAATTCCACCCCAAATACCACAAATTACTCACCTGCAAGATCCTCACCCGTCCATATACCTCCGACGCAGGGCCAAAGAACACGGGCCCAATAGCATACCCTAAGATGAATATACTCAGCGACAGATATGTCTCGAATTCGGAGTGTGTCATGTCCAGTGACTGCGCGAGGTCGTTCATTGCTGGGGCGATCATTGAGGAGGAGATGGGCGAGATGAAGACGAAGAGGGAGATGGAATATGTGGTTTTCCATTTGAGGCTTCTAGGCCAGTTTTGGGGGTCGGAGGGGTCATCGGGTCCGTTCCAGGTGATGAGGTTGGGGGGGTTGGATTTGTCTTTGTCTTTGGGGGGTGAGGGTTTGGAGATGGGGATGGGGGATGCTTCGAGGTCGTGCTTGTCAAGTTCGGTCATTTTTGGTGCTTCGACGTTGCTGTGATTGTTTACTGGCGTTTAGGGCGGGTGATTGTGTAGAATACTATCATTGTGGTTATATACTTGTATGGGTGATGTGTATCAGCCAATCGCGGAGCTGGATTCTGCTTCGGGCCCGGATTGTCTGCGAAGGACCGATGCGGTGGCCAATAACAGACAGGTATGGATCGGGCCCGAGTAGTAGGTTGGTCTGGCAAGTCAACTCCGATAGATATACTACCGACATCATGCTCTTAGTATTAGTGGAATGCTAAAAATGAATTCTGAAAATGAAGCTTGTGTCCATCTAATTCATGGTATATACAAAGTAATAGCTATCCCTCCAACGCCAGCAACGTGCTATGTATCGTAAATCATACACCTCCCCTGTCCCATATGCATCGCGGAATTCTAAACAAAAGTACCCATTTTCTCTAATCCATGCGCTTGTAAAGCTTGGCCTTGCTGGATCCACTGCAGCAGGAGGGGACTGCCGCAGCAGGTTCCGGGTGCAGGGTAGACTTGTTGAAGTTCTGCGACGACTGAGGAACATCCACGGCCGGATTCTTCGTGAAGAAGCCGTCGGGACGCAGCATCACGCTGATGCGTTCCATGGGCATGACGGGAAAGTCTTCAACGCGGGGGTTGTGGGTGAGGCCGAATGCTAGATTGAACGTGTTAGCTGAATCATCCTTGATCTCTGTACATGTACCACAAAGGGGGTAGGGAGTGGTAGGACTTACTGTGCCAGAGAACCACGTCCTCGTTCTCGGTAGGATCATTCCGCTTGGACCAGGTCTCCACGCCAACAGCGCGTCGGCTCTGGTTGGTAAATTCGCCCGCAGCATACAATTCATCGTCTTGGTATCTGGTCACCCAGATGGGCTTGGTGGCGAATTCGGCACGGCCGTAGCCAATGGCTCTCTTGCTCTGGAGGAGCATTTGGCTAGGTGCCGGGTGAAGCTTGTAGGAAATGGGCTTGTAGGTGATGGGATTGATGACGTTGTCGTTGCGGATCTTGAAGACCCGGTTGCGGTTGATGTCAAGGTCGGCGGAGCCTGCCTTGTCCATGACAGTCTGCTCGGTGGTGTAGCCAACAAGCCAAGGGTTCTTCTCGTCTTCGGGAAGAGGCACACTCTCCTCGTAGTAAACAGTGTTCTTGTGGCCATCCAGGGCCGGGTCAATGCGGAAAGAGAACATGTGCTGGTGGTAAGGAGCCATCACGCCCGGACCAACGTTGGTACCCCACTTGACAGTCTCGCCGTTGGTGTTATCGAAAGGTACCGTCGATAGAATTCCAGTTGCGCGCACTTCCAGTTCAATGTTGGCGGCCTGGTCGAAGATGTAGGCGAAGATGTACTCGTAGTTAGCGACAGTGCAGATCATCTGCAGGACAAGCTGGCGGTTGCGGACCACGGTAGCAGCGCCGGATCTGTAGTTGGTGTGCTTGTGTTGCAGGCCGTTGTCCTGCTCGTGCATGCAAATGATGTTCTTCAGCAGGACCGGATTTCCCTTGCAGTCAGCCCGGTAGCCGTCGAAGTACTTGATATGACCCAGGCAGTCACAACCCAGCGTTAGCTGGTTGGCATTGAGACCAAAACCGACATCGCCAACGTCGAAAGCTTGCTTGCGGTGGTAGGGGGCACGAGGGTCTATGATCCATATTAGCATATCTCTTACATAAAGGTGTCCGGTTCTGCCTACCTCCATAAGGGACGGTCATTTCTGATACCGCAAGGCGGTAGAAGACGCTGCGGTTATCATAGGTGACGTTGTAAAGAACCATGCCCTCCCGGTTGTTGAAGCCGACCCTGAAGCGCCACTTCTGCCAGTAGACAAAGTTGCCATCCACCGAGAAAGACGGTCCCTCGGGTTGCTGCACAATGTAGGGCTTGAGGTCTGTCCGAATGGGCTCATCCTGCAGGCCATGGGCGTATTGAACTGCCTTGACGGGCTTCCAGGGCTGAGTCTCAACGGTCTGTGCATCCGAGCCACCCGGCAGATAATCCATGCGGATCAACTCATGTGTAAAGGCATCGAATACCGGGGAGAACTTGCAAGGCAAGGAATAGTGGTTGTTTTCGGGGTGGTCTACTTCCACCATGTACATGAAGCACTGGAACATGCGCCTCGACTCGGTCAAACTCTCGGTGCCGTACATCCATGGGTCATTGCAGACAGTCATGCCGGGGGGTAGCTGAAGCTTTGCAATTTCCGCCTGCACTGCGGGGTGCTTCATGCAGACTTCTTCGATAACGGCCAATTCGTCGATATCCACTGGAGGCTGAGGCCAACTGTTAGCGCAAGGACAATAGAGATCGAATCAAACGGTACACACCTGGACTCCCTCCGGTAATTCCTTGACGTAAACGACGGATGCGGTGTCCGCGTTCATCAACGCCTTGCACCATGCGCCGGTATCCAGGCGATAGAAGTAAGAGTAGAGAAGACGCGCGGGCTTCGGAGGAAGGGGTTTCCTTAACCTCTCAGCCTCGATGTATGGGACGACATCCTTCTTGATGGGCTCGTGGATATCAATACGATTGTAGCGCAGCTTGACACCTGGGAAGGCAGCTTCCAGGATGCGGACAGCCAAGCGGATCTCTTGAGGCCGGACGGGATCAAAAGGGTGAGGGCTGGCCGAAGTGGCCAAGCTGGGCCCCTGAGACGCAATTGACATGTTCAGAAGACGGGTGTGTATGCTTGATGGGAGAGATGATGCGACTGGGGAAATAAAAGGATATATTGGGACAAAGTCCTTGGGGGGTCAGGTCATATCAAGAAAGATGAGATTGAACAGTAAGTGTCCATTGCCCGGGGGCAGAGGAGGATATATGTAGTCCATTGAGCACTTCTCCCTTCGGGCAATGGACCCAGCACAAAGGCAAAAAAGGGAAGCTCATGGAGAAGGTGAAGCCGCAAGAGACCCAAGGATCTCCACGGTCTGGATGGACATGCCTAATTGGGACAAGTGGGGCGGCGGTAAGTCTGGGACTGCGGCTTCAAGATCTCGACGATTTGCCAATCTGCCATGGATTGACAGCCTGATAGCCGCTGTGCATTGGTCATAGAATTCCCCTTGCGGTCTCCCTCCTCCGTTTCGGGGTCCGAGGAACGCGAGGATAAGCGATGCAAAGGCGCTCGTTTGCCGAGAGACGTAATATGGCACATTCATCCCATCAACATATCTGGTCCGTATAGTGGCATCCCAGCAGATTGGGTTCGACGATAATCTTCCCCTTCCCGCCGATAACGGCTGTCTTTTCCTTATCTCTGTAGCCACATGCTTGCTAGATAAACGAGGGCAATTGTCAGTACTCGAATGTCATACTCCATCATCTCTCCTCTACGATTTTTCAATTACTCACCCGGAGATCTTCAGCAAAGGAATATCGAAAAGCGGGGGAATCTTCTCCATCTCCGATAAAAGCTGCCAAATCTCAGCGTATCTCCTTCCCCTTTCGGTTTAGCGCCGACTTCCCCGGCCTTCTTGGAGGCTCATCCTTCGTCTCTCTTTCTGTCCTTCAACTATTTTCATCTGGTCTGCTTCAAGCAAGGTACACTTGTTTGGTGACTCGAACTAACGGTCAACCGGCTGATTTCCTGACAGATCCATTGGCTGCCGGTTTTTCTCCATCTGCTTAGTATCCGGTTGATGCAAGTTGCCGACGCGGAAATATACATCCACGACCGAACACTCCATAGTCCCCCACGCCGAGAGAACCAACAGCATTGATTTCTATAAGCCTAGATAGCCTGAATATCCATTATCTATTACAAAACTGCTCCTATATCATGACAGTATCCAATACTACGACCATGGTGCAACAGCCTTCCACTCAGACCCCGACGAGGCGGAGGTGCAGACGAGAAGGCGCCAAGTGGACACGGTCTGGCTGCTTGACATGCAAGCGTCGTCGGAAGCGGTGTGATGAAGCGAAGCCCTGGTATGGAGTCCGCCCCTGGTTCTAGGGTATACTAGACACTAATTGCTTAATTACAATAGCTGTCATAGTTGCGCCAGGTTGGGCTTGAAATGTGAGGGCTATGGCTCAATGTGGGCAGAGCCTCTAGACCCATCAGCAAATGTCTTCAGCCAGTTTAAAGCACCGAAACGGCGTCGAGTTAGTACAGCATCAGCTTCAACAACTTATTCGCGTGTCCCGGAAGAAGAGCTCTGGTTGTCCCCGAGCTCCCCAGTCTCGAGCAGTCTATCAACAGCGCCAACAACTCCGACCGAATCTGACAACAGCAGTCTATACTCTTGGAACAATGAGAACAATGAATATGAAGACAAACAGGTTACCGTACCTGAAATTGACTCCTGCTATGCACTCACCGTGGCTTCACCCATGCCAAGTAGGTACTTCAGTCATCTTTCGCATCACGATACGCACTATCTCCAGTATCACACCGAGCTGGGCTCCAAGCTACTAGCCAACCTTGAGAGTATCGACAACCCCCTTCGATCGTTTCTCATACCCCGAGCCCTATCATCGCCTCTTCTGATGAAAGCTTTGTGTGCGGTATCGGCAACACATTTTGCAAATCGTTCCCGAGACAAAGAAGAGGCCCAAACAGCCGCGACGGACTACTACGTTCAAACGCTGAGTGGACTGCAGTCAACAATTGCCAAATATTCAGCGCGGACCCTTCCCGATGAGGCCATTCTGGCGGTAGCCATGCTTTGCAAGTACGAAATCGTACGCGGAAGCGTTCAACAGTGGACCGCGCATCTGAACGCCCTGCAAGAGCTCATAGTGGCTCGCGGTGGAGTTGATGTTCTGAAAGATGACATGAGGGAATTCCTAAGCGGCTTGTAAGACTCTTTTTACAAATTACCTGCTTTGAAACCGAAGCTAACCACACCATAGCTACATCTATGCCTATAACATGGCTAGAATCAGCAACCGCAAGCACATCAACTACGACCTTGATATAGGCAACGTCAAAATCTCCAAGCTCGACATCTACATCGGCTACGCAGAAGACCTCATTAAGATATGCGCCCGAATAGCTGACCTCCCCACCCTATCTCAAGACCCTGTAGCCTTGGACCTAGAGGTCCGCTTAATGTAAGTACCCCCTCAACAACATCCACAGCTCCCGCTAACCATGAACCACACAGCGACACATCCCTTCGAGACTGGGCACCCACCAACACCGAGTATATCCTCCCACGGGGCATAACCGAATCGAACCTTATCCGCCTGCGCATGGTCGCCAACTGCTTCCGCGATGCTGCGTACATCTATCTCCATTCCACCCTAGAAAGAATGAACCAGAGAACGGCACCACCATTATCACCACAATTTGCTGCCCCATTGCAATTAACACTGCATACGCCATCCAAACCAGCACCAACACCATCCATCTCCCTCCCTCGATCAAGTGCACTACATCAGCTCTTGTCCAGACTCAGGGAATTCCCACTCGACGAGCACTGCGAATACTCTGCACTTACATTCCCACTCTTCATTGCTGGCTGCGAGAGCAAACATCCCTCAGACCAAACGCTCATCATACAGTCATTGGATAAACTAGAGGCGAACTTTGGCATCGGCAATGTGAGAAGAGCAAAAGAGATGTTGAGTATCCTCTGGGCGGGAGAAGGGGATGTGCATTGGCTAGATATGTTGGAGCGGTTACAGTGGGACTTGATTCTTGCTTAGATACTATTGATATTGTATATAAACAATGATTGAATACCAAGCATATATGATAAGCACTGAAATACACTTCTGATACCACAGCTTGCCGAAAATCTTCGACTTACGGCGCTATACCGAGCAGATCCTCTCTTGGGTAAACAAGGGTATCTCCATTTCATCAAGGCGTTAAACCGCACAGAGTAAAAATATAGGCTAAGAAGAGAAGTACCCAAAACACCCGTCCACCAGACGCAAACAAAAGCCCGAAACAAAATAATTAATAAGAAGTCCGCTTTGCAAGAAAAAGAAAATGCCAATCTCTTGAGACGCCGCCAGTTGCAGTGTTGCTTCACCTCTCCTCCATGACTGAATAAGATCAGCTCAATCCCATATTGACCTCATCACCTAATCCCATCTCTCGCTCGGCTCGTTCAGTACCTCCTGTGGCGCGAGTGCCCCAGCGGTCTAGACGGTCCTGAGCAAGAGACATCTCTTTCTCTCTGATACTTCCTTCGCGGCCGAAGCTGCTGCTGTGACTGGCGCTGCCTCCCGAGTAATTGGACGTTTTCCGGGCGTGCGGAATACTGATGGGTCGGGTTGCAGTTGCGGTGGACTTCCCGGTTGGCGTGTAGCTTCCGGTAGGGGTGGCGGACTTCAATTTTCCGAGATCTACGGAGGAGTTATTGGTGGACGTTGGTGGAGCAGAGGAGATGCTGCTGGCTTTGTCGCTTACACTCTTCGTACTCCCAAACCAACGTCGTTTGCGGGACTTGGATGAGGTTGACGGGGCGAGGCTTTCTGCGTCGGCGTCGACCGTAGATGAGATCTCCTTCTCATGGGCGTTGGCGGCCTTTTCCTGCTCCAGTGACTGGGCGATGCCGGATTTGGTCTCTACTGAGGTGCTCTCGCCCGCTGAGGGAGTCTCAACCAGTTCGGCGTCACGACACCACTTCCGACGACGGGTGTATCGATCCCAACCATCTTGGCCACGGCGACCGTCGTTCCACTGTTCCCATGCTGTTAGTAACCCTGGAACCTGGACATTTGTCAGAACATGGGAAACAATGTGTCCCACCTTGTTGTCATAGTAGACCCAGCCCCCGCCATCAGCTTTGGCGTCCGACTTTCCTGAATCGTCGGCGCCTTCAATACGCCAGTCACTCCCTTCGACCCAGCGCCATTGGGCATTCCCGTTTGCGACACCGGGCAGCTCAAAGTCCTCCTTAGACGGGACATGATTCAGATGCTCGTCTGTCCAAGCAGCTCGCTCGGAAGGAAACAGAGAGTACGTCCAGCCGATTCCAAGCCAACGACGTTGGTTTTCATAGATGACAAAGGTGAATCTCACCCCGGAGGAGTCTCCTCGACGTCTTGTCGCAATGCTCATCGCATGGCCCTGGCTCTGCATCAACAGCGAATGCGCCTTATCAACCGTAGAAGAAAAGGATAGGCCCGTAATTATGGAGCATATCCGGCGGATTGTTAACGATCGCCAAAGAATGACACGAGAAACTCTGGCCGGGCGAGAGTGATAGGTGAGAATGATGGTGCCGAGTGTCATGATAACCCGGCGAGTGGTAATAAGATACAACGGTGGAAGAGTCAAGGCGATCCAGATGGGTGTAACGAAGAGGATTCGAATAAATAATGTCGTAAGAGCCGGTCGGGTGGTGGCAGACGTCGCTGTCCTCTGTGTGGACAGGAAGTCGGTAAATTCCACGAGTGGCTCTAGGAGAATATTGCAGCGTGTGGTAAATGTCCTTAGCGTCTCCACGATTTCGTCCAGTGTTTCATGCCGATGGGGGAATGTCTCCGAAGCAGCCCTTTGATGACCTTGCTTCTCACTCAAGTGAGCCCTGGACGACAACGGGGAGTAGCGTCGCCAGTACATGCCCAAAATAAGGCCGATGACCACGAGGAGTGGCCCGGTCCAGGTAATGATCACATCGCCGTAGAGAACAAGCGTCCAGAATACTGCTACCAGCAGGAAGCTCTGCCAGCCGTCTCCAGTGGTCCATGTGAGCAATCCAACGAGCTTGTTCAACGGGAGAATAAACGGGTGCGAGTAGGCCAATGCCCGGGTGATCTGAGGGGGCGTGGCCACCAGTAGCGGCGATTTGCGATGCACGATGATGCTAGAACGCTGCCTCGATGTCACGGACGAGCCTGAGATGGTGGTGGGGGAGAAAGCAGCGACCGTCGGAGGCTGAGAGTCAGCATGGTCCTGCGTGGATGATGATGGGGCCATGGAATCTATCCACGGAATATCTTCTGTCGCGACATTAGTATTCAGGGCGGTAGTGGATGAGAGCAGCTCGTCCACGTGGACCAGATATTCGAAGAGAATAGGAGGAGGAAAGTCGTCAGAGTCAGAAAGTGCATTTGTTTGTATCACCTACCGAGAGCTGCCATCCAACAACAGAGACGTCATATGCATCCAAGGTCATTGCGGGCGGTGAGACGCGGAGAAGAGAGAGGGAGAAGGAAAAGGGCGAGAGACACACAATAAATGCTGGTCAGACCCAACGAAAGATGGGGGACCAAAAGTTAGAGACAAGGTCCCTAGAGGCCGATCATCTGCGGGGATGGAAGGGGGGAATAGCCAGAGATCCGCGGGTGCAGCTGAGAATTGAAGCTTTTCGTCTGCTGCTCGGAACATGTGACAGCCTGCCTCGCCCGGATATTACCATACCATACCTAAATTACACAAATCAGACAATGTCGGCACCAGTGACAGACCGGTATGAATACCGTCAGGGTCCGTTACATACGTATAGATGCGATGCATCAGTCAAGGAAGATGAGGTGAGAGACACACAGTGAGACCCTGCAATAACAAATCATTGTTCTATTGAATTTGACAAATCAGCAGATACACAGCAGCTGAAGTATCAGGTAGGGGGTGAGTGCTTTCTTTTTGACGGTCAAATAGTATCAAGTCCAATAGTTGGTTGGTCTACTTTACATCCAATCCAGGAACCAATCCGGGGACGCCTCAGGCCGCGGCGGTACGGCAAAACGGACTAAAGCGCTGCCGAATTTTTCCCTCTCCGTCTGTTTCCATCGCCATCGAATCCGCTTTCCGCTCCCCTTCTTGATCCAGCCAGGGACTCCCTCCACTACTCCCCGGTCGCATCATTTCTTTTGTTCGCCGTCGCTCCTGGAGCTTTGATAAATCCTTGAAGTCCGTTCATCGGCTATCATCTCCAGTCATCATGGTATGTGGAGACACCCTCACTTTGAAGCCATTATGATACCTTTTCTATCCCGATCGGCCGCCATGCTCAGGTATACTAACCTTGCTCTCTTCTCACCCAACAGGCTCATCGTATCGTCACTCAAGTCGTCGTCACGGGCGCCCGTGTCTTCGGCAAGGCCTTCGCCGAGGCCTACAAGCAAGCCCAAGCCTCCTCCAAGTACGCCGCGCAGACGGGCAAGAAGGTCGGCGCCAGCATGTCTTCCGGATTGACTCTCGACGAGGCCTGCAAGATTCTCAACGTCAAGCCCCCACAAAACGGCGAGGCCAACCTGGAGCAAGTGATGGAACGTTTCAAGAAGCTGTTCGACCTCAACGATCCCCAGAAGGGTGGTAGTTTCTACCTGCAAAGCAAGATTCTTCGGGCCCGGGAGAGGTTAGAGATGGAAGTCCGACAGGCCGAGCGCAAGATGGCCGAGGAGAAGGAACTGCGCGAAGGCTGGAAGCCCAAGGTATATAAGGACCGGTGAATGCGTTTCTTTCTGCCTATAGCACCCAGCTCAACTTCTTCAGGAATGATTGATTGCTCTCGGGCTGCCATCTGGGAGTTCTTGCGTTTCGATCGATTTAAGCTTGGCTCTCATCAACAGGGTCGAAGCATTTGCACCGACCATTGGAAGCCCCTCTTAACGATCTCCTCGACCTCCTGATTTTCTCCCTCTCGGTTTTCGCGGCATAGCATGGCGTTTTGGTGATTCCAACTTGCAGCTTGGAAAGAGTTTAGATTCCTATATTTATATGGTGGCTTGCATCTCGTCGAGACAGATGGACTCGGACTTGAATGAAGGGCATATGGCATATCAAGTTCCAGGCTGAATCGACGGTCTGGATTGGTTGCGCCTTGTTCGCCGGGCCATTCTACGTCCTGACTGAGAGTATATGTGTATATTATTCGAAAGACGAAGGGCCTACGAGCCTAGCAGAGCACAAGGATGATCCTATCTGTGTGTTCTTTTCCCTTTTCTGTTCTTAATGATCCCTTCTCCCCTCTTGTGTCCTGTTCAGAGGATTGATACCTGTACTTTAGTACCCTCCGCGAATGCGTGGAAGGTCATGATCCAACTGAGAATTGTGTACAAATGTTAGCATTGTCCACATCAACCATAATATGTAATTTTCCATCTTATAAGAACATCAAGCAATGCTCATCGGTGGCCATCATGGCGCCATCGCGGAGCGGAACCGCCCCAGCGGGGAATATTGCCCGGGTGAGATTCCCTTATCTCCGCCGCAGATTTTCTTTCCCCTCCTTTTGCTCTTTTATTATATCCCCTCGCCATCCTCTCTTTCCCCCCCTCTCTCTTCCTTTCCTCACCCTCTTTCTCTCATTCCTTCTTGTAAATACTTTCTCTCCTACTATCAACTCCATCTACACAGCAAAAACATAAAGAAAGACCAACAATGCCCCGTCCCTCCACCCCCCTCTCAGCGGCCCTCCCGCCACTGATAATGGGCACCGCAACCTTCAATAACCAATACAACCACGACCCCTTCGCCCTTCCCACCACTGAACTGGTCCAGCGCGCCTTCACCTCCGGCATCCGCGCCTTCGACACATCCCCCTACTACGGTCCCGCCGAAGAACTCCTCGGCCGCGCCCTCGCCACCGACTACGTCCGCACCCATCACCCCCGCTCATCCTACCACATCCTCACCAAAGTCGGCCGCATCGCCTCCTCCTCCTTCGACTACTCCCCTGCCTGGGTGCGCCAAAGCGTCCGTCGCAGTCTCCAGCGCCTACACACCGACTACCTAGACGTCGTCTACTGCCACGACGTCGAGTTCGTCTCCCGTCAGGAAGCCCTAGCCGCTATCCGGGAACTGCGTCGCATTCGCGATACCGAGGGCACCATCAAATACGTCGGTATCTCGGGGTTCCCCATTGACGTGTTGGCGGAAATAGCGGAGCTGGTTCTCCGCGAGACCGGCGAGCCGTTGGATATCGTGCAGTCATATGCGAACTACACGCTGCAGAATACGAGGCTGTTGTCGCGCGGATTACCGAGGTTTGTGGGCGCGGGTGTGGACGTTGTTACGAATGCGTCCCCGTTGGGCATGGGTTTGTTGCGGAGACAGGGCGTGCCGATTGGCAGTATGGGTGATTTCCACCCCGCGCCAGATGGATTGCGCAATAAGATCCGGGAGGTGTCGGAGTGGGTCGATGGCCAGGGCGAAAGGTTGGAGGTTGTGGCTATCCGGTTTTCGTTGGAGAGCTGGTTGCGCGAAGGAAAGCAGGTTGGAGCGCTGGGTGCGCCGCTGGCTAAAGCTGGAGATGCTGATCCGGGGTTCATCTCCGTGGCTAGTATGGGCACAGGGGAGAGACTGGGAGTTAGTGTGATGGGAGTGAGCAACTTCGAAGAGTTAGACGAGACGCTGCGTGTTTGGCATAGCATCGTGGATGGATTGGAGAACAAGGACGATGACGAGGACGTTGAACCGAAGTCCTCAGAACTGCAGCTTCCGTCCGCTGTTCCTTCTGCCGCACAGGCACCTGCTATCCTGACCCCCTCGGAGGGGATCATTACCGACCGGGCCTGGTCGAAAGGCAGACGTGGTCGCATCTCGTCTCTGGCTCAGCATATCCGGACGATCCTGGGCCCGGAGTGGGCTGATTATGCCTGGGACAGTCCATCACCGGATTTCGTCAATTCGTTGTCTGCTGAGCATGTAGCTGCAAGAGACAAGGATGCCGCTGCTGCTGGCGCTAATGATGAGTCCATGGTTACGCCGCCTTTAGAGGCAGTTGATGCGGATGAGAAGATACCCACTGGTGCAGCGCCTGATGTTGCGCTGTGATCACTGAAGATATTGTTATTCCCTTTATACCTGATTGATGATGACTTATGCATATGCATGGTTAAGACATGACTACCGTTGTTTGCTTTAATGCTTCTTCCATCTATTTGCTCACTGCATAACTATGCCCTCCATCGAACAAACTAGACCGCAGACCATTCCTGCAATGTCTGTACATGATATATCACTTATGATTCATCACAACTCCAGCACGCACACATGCATAGAATAGACTACCTACCTACATACCTACCTACCTACCCAGCAATTAATTCCCAAATCCCCACATTTCTCCAAATCTATATTCCATCCAACTCCCAAACCTCTCTCTTCCTCTCCAAGCGACCGCATATAGCGCCCCCTTGATGAGAAGGATACGGGGGAAAAGGGAGTGAAGTAAGATATAGAGGGATTTGTGCAAATCCACCAGAGAACCGTGAGGGTCTCCGTGTGGACGTACGGTACCAATTCGATTGTTCATGCTTCTAAATTTCAATCAATATTTTGCAATTTTGCTGCTGCTGCTGGCGTAACCAGGTTGGTGTCTCTGTTTAACTGATCGATGACAGGCCGTTTGTTTGGAAACTCACATCTGGCCAGAGATCGTCACAAAAATCTATTGAACCTATGAAGAGGTAAGTGTTAGCGAGGCACGTGGCATGGCTGTTTGCCAGTGGGTTATGATATGATAGGTAATGTGAATACCAACCAGGTTTAATAATGATGTGAGTATCCAAGCACAGCTTCTATTGAGCTTGTTAGTGAGATATCTTCAGAATAGTCCATCACGCGCTCATAGCCCATAGCATAGTGTCATCCACATTTGGCATTGCTCCGATATTCCCGAATGAACAGTAGAAGAAAACCACCCCAGTGTAAAAACCATGCTCCCAGATATCTTTTATTTTAGCCAAGGAAAAAGAAGGGTATCAGACGCTCAAAGGCGGACAAGAAATCAGAAAGTGAGAGAAAGAGAAACTATCCCAGGGTATAATACAGAAAATGTGTGCCCACTGGTAACCCAAGACGAAAGGAAAATCTGTACAAGTCTTAAGTCGACTTCTTTGAAGAAGCCCTTAGCTCTGGCTGGGAGGTATTACATCCCCTTCTCTCGCATCAAAAGGTCTCTGTCCATGTCTGATTGCGACTTGTAGCCGCCCAGACTGATGGCCTGCTCATTGCTGATTGAGTAGGGAATGGACGGTATGTCAGGACGCAAGCGCTTGAGACGAGCAGAACGTTCCCGCGCAGCTTGTTGCTTCTTTTGCAGTTTGGTCATCTTATCCTTCTGCGATTTTGGTGCAGCAGGAGGGGGGTTGGGAGGGAGAGGTGGAGCAGCATCAGCCGGAGGAGACTCAGGAGGAGGGGGCGGAGGAGTGGAATCCCGACGGTACCGCGCAAATCTTTCGTCGGTGTCAAAGACCTGCCGGAGCTGCCACCGCTGCTCAGTGTACTCCTCATAGTTCGCGGCAATAATGGCTTCAAGAATGCTGGCCTGCGTCTGGCCCGCTGTGGCGGTGGAGATCATGCGCTCCTTGAGGCGTTGATAGGCTTCTGAAAACGCTCTGAAAATCAATGCGATTTCCCGTGTTCCACCAGAGACATCGTTGTCGGCATTGTTGGGATCCTCAATCGACAGACGGGGGCTGTTATTGAAAGAAAGCTTATAGACCCTCTGCACAGGAATTCATTAGCCGGTGTACACACAAACCATCATTGAAGGGCTTACCTTATTGAAGTAGCCCGGTGGGTTAAAGCGGATTCCAACGGAATCATAATCAAAACCGTTACCGTAAAACTCGAAGAAATCCATCAGAACGCTGCCCAGATTCGGCGTCCCATGTCCATGCGGCAGGTGCTGCAAGAGACTGGTGACAAGACAAGTGATGGAAAACCCTCCCAAGCCTCCAGTTGGGACTTCATTGAGGCCGCGAAGGAGCAAGAATTGCTTGATGACGGACACGATAACAGGCATCGCGGGATACTCAGCCTTCCACTGCTGGAACGTCTCGTTGGCCACTAACCCGCTGTCATTGTCGAACGATAAGTCCACCCTCAGGCCAGTCAACTTGTCCACGAACTTCAGAATGGGTACTCGGGCATGTGCGATCGTCTCGATCGAGTTGGGCACCGCGATGTTCAGGTTCTTCAGGAATGCAGAGAATGCATAGATCTGGCCTTTCCGTTCACCAAATGTCTTAATACCGTTGCGCATGAAGTTCGTGGAGAGTAGTACAAGGTCAATATCGGCAGTGGGCAGGTAGAGACCCGACGCAAAGGAGCCAAAAGGCCGAAGCTGCACCCCATAGTACCTGCTCTGGAACGCAGTCTGTAGCCTCGCCACCAAGTCCTCTCGCACGATTTGTTCATAGCGCACTGGTTTAACCCAGTGATAAAAGCTCAAGATTTCATTGTGCAGCCTGCTTTTAGTCAGAATAATTGCTCCTTCCTTCGCCATAGATTAACACGCACCTTGCGCCCACATGTAGACTGGGAGCCATGCTACTTGTCCACGGTGTTGCATTTTCCGATGAGCGGGCTCTCCACTCGTCAATGATCGAGCCATCATCATAGTATTTGCTCAACGGCTTCCCAGTCTTCTTAGAGACACCTTTGATCTCATCATCGTATGTCCTCTTTCTGTTTCCAAACGCCGAGTCCTTGCCCTCCAGCT